GGGGGATTCAGGAGCATCCTGACCCTGCTCAGGGAAACCTCAGGGCAGCTGCAGAGCAGAGCCTGAATTATTCCCAAAACAGGTGTGGGACAATGCCCAGAGAGGGATTTTGGCTGTGCTGGCTCTGTGGGATGAGGGGTGAGCACCATGGAACAAACCCCCACCCCACAAAAGGCTTTTAAAAGGCTTCAGCTGCTGTTTGTTTGAACCCAAAGAATGTTCTGCCCATCACATGAGGCTTTATTGATTTCCTCTGTACTCAGGAGCAAAATAAAACCACCAAGCCTGTACCCAGCACACAAGGGAAAAAAACATCCCTAAAATCCAATGGAGATGGCATTTCCAGGTTGGAATTACAGCCCTGGCTGCCCATCCTCCCTCCCTGACCATCTTTTACACCCCAGGTGCTGGCAGCTCCTGTTGGAGCTGTGATGGTCCAGCAGCCTTCCCTGGGTTATTGATTAACCCCTGCTGCTGCCAGGGACACCCCCAGAGCCAGCACCCCACAGGGCAGGGATGGGGCTCCTCCCTGGGCTCACAGAGGCTCCTGAGCCACGTGGAGCCTGGAGGGAGAGGAGATGAGGCTGATTAAGGCTCATTATCCTATTTAATTTAGTAATGATGGCAGCTGGCAGGCACAGGAGTGGGAAGAGCAGGAGCTGTCAGCTCCTGGGGGTTTGCAGCTCCCAGCAGGACCAGCTCCCTCTCCCTGCTCCTGTCCCAGTCCCAGCAGGGAATTCCTGCTTGCCCAGAGGCTGGGACCCACCAAAAGCAGGAGCCAGGGAGCTCCTGGAGCCACAGGGGCTGCACTGCACCCAGAGCCCCCAAACCCACCATGGGGGCTTGGGAACACCCTCAGAATTGCCCAGGACAGCTCCTGGGGACTCACAGAGAGTGATGGAATCACTCAGGGGGGAAAAGCCCTCTGAGAACACCGAGTGCCACCATGCTCATGTCCCCAAGTGCCACCTCCACAGAGCTTTAAACCCCTCAGGGATGGGGATCCACCTGCCCTGGGCAGCTGGGCCAGCTCCTGGTGCTTCAAATTTTCACCTGCACGTGAAAATCCAGCAGCAAAAGCAGCCAGGGACTGCCTGAAACCCAGAGCCAGGGCTGGGGAATCCTCTGGCCCCTTGTGGGATCGCCCAGGAAGGGCAAGAAGAACATCCCAAACCCAATAAAATACCAAGTCTGAACAAAACCCACCCAAGGCAGCAGAGCTGCACGACAGCTTTGAAGGATGAGAATAATAACACTTAATTCCAGCACTCTTATGCCTTTCAGTAGACCCAAAATAGCTGCTGAGCCATCAGGGACCTGCTGCGCTGAATTTTTAAGTAAACTTTCCCTCAGAGGCTTTGGGTCTTGGCAGTGAAGACACTGAGCCCCAAACCCTTTTTAGGAAAGGCACCAGAAGCTCACCCAGCCCCATCAGCACCCCAAACCTCCTCAAGCAGCAGCTGAAAGCCTCTTTAAAGAAAAAAAACAGGTTAAACTGGAGGCTCCATGCCAGGAGATTCGGGGAAATAAAGGAGAACTCATTTCTCAAACCGCTGGGATCTGTTTTTGCCGTGCCCTCGCCCTCCAAGTGCCCCCAAATTTCCTGGGGAGGTTTGCCAAGCCCCACCAGCATCTCCTCCTCAGCTGGAGGATGAACAAACACCGGGGGAAAAGGCGAAGATAAAGATGTAACAGATTAGATCTGCCTTTTGTGAGGGATGGAATAACTCCAGCTGCTCAGAAGTTTAACCCTTCCTCTGCCAGGAGCACACAGCTCCAGCAGGGCTGAGGCAGGACAAAAACCCTTCTGGCTGCCAGCAGAGCAGGGCTGGGCTGATAAGGAGTCGATAAAGGCTTTTAGAGGTGGCTGTTGTGCAGCCTGGAGCTGTGCCAGGCTGGCAGTGCTCCCTCCTCCTGCCCTGGCTGCCCCAGCACCCTGCCAGCCCCAGGGGCACAGAGAGCCCCAGAGGGACCCATTCACCAACTCCTGGCTGTCCCCAGGGAGAAATCTGGGCTCCAAAGGAAGGGAGATGGCTCCAGAGCACATTCCCAGCCCAGGGGTGGCTCAAGCCCTGCCAACTTTTGGTTTTCATTTCAACACACTCAGCTCTAACCTCTCCCCATAACCACTGTTCTCTGCCCAAAGCATCCCCAAATTCCCATCCTGAAGGCACTGCCCAGCTTCAGGAGCCATTCCTGCTGCTCCAGGCAGGGCACACAGAGCCCCCCACCCTCTGCCAGCTCTCCTGGCCCTTCCCAAGGCACCCAGGGGGAGGAAGAGCAGGATTTGGATCAAGCACACCCTGACAGGGTGGCTCCTGCCCCTTCTCCAGGAGGAACACACATACAGCAGCACTACTTTGGGATAAAAACCCTCCCTGAGCTCCACTGAGGGCATAAATCCTCCCTGAGCAGAATTCCCACATGGAGCAAGCAGCCAGGAGACAAGAGCTCTGCTCCCAGCAGCACTGCACCTGGATTTGAGGAAATATTGGATGTTTTTATACCTGTACTGCTCCCTGCAGCACTGCACCTGGATTTGAACCTGGATTTGAGGAAATATTGGATGTTTTTATGCCTGCACTGCTCCCTGCAAGGCCAGCACCCTCCCTGCCTGTCCCTGTCACTCCACCCTGCTCTTCCCCACACAGGAATTCCACTTTCCCCAAGGAACACCCAGTAAAAAGCCCAACCAGCAGGAACACGTGGGCTTTGTGCTCCAGCTGTTCTCCATCCGGCTGGGAGGCACCAGCCCGAGGCAGAGGATCCAGCCCAGCCCAGGGGACACTTTGGGACAGGGAGAGCAGCAGGGAAAGCCAAACAGCTCCCAACAGAGCCAAGAGCAGCTCCTGAATCCTGCAGAGCATTTGGGAGCCCCAAAAAACCCGAAGATGGCGAGGAGAGTCCCACCAGGGGCATTTCATCCCCTGGCACTGGGAGTGTGGCTTAGGCTGGGGCTGTGTGTCCAATTCCATCTGTCAGAGCTGGGGCGGTTCTCTGCTGTTCATTGGTGTCTTGGTTTGGAAAGCCTGCTGCCACCTGAGGAAGGCAGGAGCCTCCCCTGACATAGAAAATGTAAATGCCACCCCCCCACCCCAAAATTGCTATACATTTTAAATTAAGGGGCTCTCAGGAAAAAATATGGGAGCAGGAATAACAGTTCTTTACTAACCTCCTCTGGGCTCACATCTCCCATGGATGCTGCAGTTCTCATCAGCCATGTAGGGACATTCCATGACCTGTTATCAGCAGATGTCTCCCCTGAGGGAGGAGTGGAAGAGATAAGGAAAACTGCCCACTGAACAGGAGACAACTGCCACACCCACACAGATGGCAAATGGAATCCAATTTGCTCGGCAATCCAGGACAATTGGGCAGTTTTCTTTATCTCTTCCACAACCAATCCTCCCTCCAGGAGATCTCATCTGTAAATGGACCATTAATTATTAATTATCTTCTGTTCATGGGCCAGTAATTATTAATTATCTTCTGTTCATGGCCAGGGAGTGTCCCTGCAGGGCTGATCAAATTCCATCATCCCATGGGGAGATGCTCCGCCCAGGGCAGGAGCCAAGCATTCCTACCTGGATACAATCTGAGCCTGGAACAGCACAGCAGCCTTTGCCCACTGCATTCCCAGAGGAGCAGCTTTCTCCTGCCCTGCATTCCCAGAGGAAGAGCAGGCCCATCCACACCAGCCCTGGAGCTTCAGAGGAAAACTCCAGCCTTGTGCAGGATCCCTGCTCCAGCAGAAGCACAGCTGGCACTGCAGGAGGGCTGAGCCCCCATGGGATGGGACTGTGCCACCACCCTGACACACAGGGCTCAGCTCCTGCTCTCACTCTGGCAGGGTTGGTTTGTATTACTACATTTGTATTTTATTTTAATTTTCTTCCCTAGTAAAGAACTGTTATTTCCGCTCCCATGTCTGTGCATGAGAGCCCCTTAATTTCAAAACTGTAATAATTTGGAAGGAAGAAGTTTACATTTTCCATTTCAGGCGAGGCTCCTGCCTTCCTTAGCAGACACCTGGCTTTTCAAACCAACACAGAGTGACCGCACAACAGCCAGCAATTCTCCTCCCAGCTGAGGATGCACCTGACTGGAGCTGGGACCTGTCAGGAGAGGCTCCAAAAGCCAGGGAAAGGGGAAGGTTGGTGCTACAGACTCCTTAAAACCTCCCACTCCTTCCTCATAACCACAGACCAATAAAATCCCACTAAACTAAACATGAAAATTGAAGGATCTCCCTGGAAATGTATGGAAATCTCTTCACTGAGTGCACCATTCTCATGTTCCCAGCTGCAGAAATCCACCAGCTCCCCATTTATTTGTAATTTTAGCACCAGTCTCAGGCTGCCTGCTGGCATTGAGCAGCACTGCCAGGGCTGGCAGCTCTGCAAATGCAGCCCCTGGGCAGGGACACGAGGTCACACCTGAGCTGTGTGAGCAGTGCTGCCAGCAAAAAGAACAAAAGCAAAGTGTGAAGGGGGAAAAAACAGGAAGATTAAAAAAAAAAAAAAACCAGAGCTCAGTGAGTCTAAATCTGCATCCAGCACTGCCAGAGCCAGCCAGGGCTCAGGGAAATCTCAAATTCATTAAATCTGGGAGAGGATCCACCCGTGCCCAGCTACCAGCTGCTCTTCCCTGCAGCTGCAGGAAGGGCAGGAACCCCCAGCCTGGAATTCCCTCTGACAGCACTGGGAGGAGCTCCCAAACTGGGAATTCCCTCTGACAGCACTGGGAGGAGCTCCCAAACTGGGAATTCCCACTGGGATGAGCTCCCAGCCCCACAATCCTCACAAATGAACACTGGGATGAGCCCCCAGCACCACAATCCCCACTCACAGCTCTGGGATGAGCCCCAGCCCCACAATCCCCACTCACAGCTCTGGGATGATCCCCAGCCCCACAATCCCCACTCACAGCTCTGGGATGATCCCCAGCCCCACAATCCCCACTCATAGCTCTGGGATGAGCCCCAGCCCAGTCCCACTCACCAGCTCTGGCAGCAGCAGGTCGGCCCCGAACACGAACGCTGCCCCCAGGGCAAAGCCAGCAGCCACTGGGAAGAAGGAGAAGGCCCCAAAGCTCCCAGATTCCTGGGCCAGTTCAATGGCTGGGGCCAGTAGGGACCAGTAGGATGCTGCCAGCATCACCTGGGGACAGAAGGGGAGTGGTGAGAATCCCTGGGATGGAAGGAAGCTGAAATCCCAGTGGAGAAATGGGTGCAGGATCCAGGGGAAGGAGCAGAGCCCAGAGCCGCAGCAGGAGGATGCTGTGGGAAGGTGACCCCAGCTCTGCCCAGCAGCCCCAGAGCCCCAGGAAATTCCTTTGGCAGGATGCTCAGAGCCCCAGAATGGTTTGGGCTGGAAAAGACCTTAAATCCCACCCAGTGCCACCATGGCAGGGACACCTGCCACTGTCCCAGGTGCTCCCAGCCCTGTCCAACCTGGCCTTGGACACTGCCAGGGATCCAGGGGCAGCCACAGCTGCTCTGGGCACCCTGTGTCAGTGTCCCAACACCTCCCAGAGAATTCCTTCCCAACTTCCAACCCAAAGCTCCTCTCCTGCAGCTCCAAGCCCCTCAGGAGGAGCAGCTGCCCAACTCAGGGACTCAGAGCAGGCTCTGCCACCCTCAGCCCTCCTGAGAAGGGAGGAAGGAGCTGCCTGTGCTGCAGACAGCAGTCCCTGGGGGTTGTGTAAATCTGAGCTGCTGTGAGTAAGAGGAACGAGGGCTGTCATGTCAGGCTTAAGCAGGGCTGTCAAACCTCATATTTCAAATGCCACCTCCTTTAAAAAACAACCACACACCCCAGCGTGGAAACACAGGCAACAGGGAGAGGCTCTGGAGAATTATGTTGTCAGCTCATGTTAAGATATCATTTCCCCATGGCAAACAGAGCCCTGGCAGAGCTCAGCCCCCAGATCCTGCCAGGATCCCACAGCTCAGGGCTCCTGGGGAGTGGTGACACAGCTCTGAGCCAGCCCCAGGTGGAGGAAAAGGGATTTATTCCATTTATTCTGGCAACCCCAGGCGCTGGAAGGCTTCATGATGGATTTACAGAACACCCCAAGGTGCAAGGGAGTCCTTTAGCAGCTTCTCCTCAGCCCAGCCCTGAGCTCAGGGTGGGATTTAGGATCACTTGGAGCTCCTGCCCACCCAGGGCAGGGTCAGAGCTGGGTTTTTAGCAGCTTCTCCTCAGCCCAGCCCTGAGCTCAGGGTGGGATTTAGGGATTTAGGATCACCTGGAGCTCCTGCCCACCCAGGGCAGGGCCAGAGCTGGGTCCAGCTGACCCCAGGGGTGACCAAAGGGGAGGATTCCTGCCACCAACCCGGGTTAAGTGACAAATTCACACTGACCCCAAAGCCCTGCATGGCCCAGCCAGGGAAAGCACCACGGCTCCAGCATCCCCAGGCCAGCAAGGGCAGGAACAAAACAGGAAAATCCCCCTGGATCAACAAACCTGGGGCACTGAGGACTGTCCACACCTTCCCCCCACTCCAGCCCCATTGAGCCAGGGACCCAAAGTGGATTTGGGGCATTTTCACAGCCTTTGTGCTCCAAAGATGCCACAATGCCATAAAAGCAGCAGGACTGGGAAAACATGGAGCAGGCAGGGGGCACCCAAAGCCTCACCAGGTTCCAGCAGTGGGACAAGAGACAAAAATCCATCCAGTGAATCCAGATCTGTGCCCTCCCTCTGGTGGGAATGCCTCCAAACACAGCAGGATTTAAACCCAAACCTCTCCCAGGGCTGGCACCTCCTTCCACAGGGATTCAGTGCAGGATTCCCCAAATTCTGGGCTTTTCCTTAGCCCCCAAATTCAGGGATCCAGCAGTGCCCCTGTGCCTGTGGAGCCTCACAGCAGCTTTTATGTTAAAATTCAGAATAAATAGAGCCATAAGCTTCACACTCAGGGCTGGGCTGCAATTAAATCCTCATTAAAGCAGGAGGGCCTGGCCACCCTCCTGTGGGATCCCTGGGACGGGAATGGGAACACCAAGGGACACTGGGGAGCAGGAAATGCTGGAAAAGGAGGTGGGAAAGGCAGGTGGAAGATGAAGACATTGGCAGGCCACTTTCCTGGCCAAACTTTTCCACTTGGCTTCATTAAGAGCCTCAGCAGAGCTGAGCGCGTTCCTGATGTTGTTTTAAGGGAATATTTGATCCCAGAGTGCCTGGGGAGGGCTGAGGATGATTTGCTGCTGCACCTGGGACAGAGAAAAACCCAAAGTGCAGCCCAGGCAGAGGAAAAGCTGTGCCAGGCTGCAGGGAAAGGGGCTGCAGGTGTTTGTTCCTGGTGGCTGAGCCCAGCCCAGCAGCACCACAGAGAACAGCTGGGGGGAAAAAATAGAAATAAAAATTTTAAAAAAATCTCATGTAAGGATATCAAGATTTAAGAGAAAAGGCAGAATTTCCCATCAGATGCCCCAGCAAGCAAAGCTTTGTCTCTATGGAAACACATCACCTCGGAGGAGCCTGCAGGCAAAACCCTGCATTGGCTGGGACTGCCAGAGAGGGAACTGAGGCAGGGCAAAGGCAGAGGAGCAGGGGCAGGGCTGGGGGCAGCTGAGCTGCACAGGGCCCTCCCCCAGCCCAGGTGACACCTGTGCCACCAGCAGGGGCAGCCTGAGCTGCCAGCGTGCTCCCAGTACATCCCAGTTCAATTTATCCACGTGGCCAGGCTCATCCCAGCACCCCCAGAGCAGCTGGAGCATCTGCAGGGTCCTGGACACCAAGGGAGGGAAAAATGGGGGGGGGAAAGGGAGGAAAAAATGGGGGGAAAGGGAGGAAGTAATTTAAAAATGGGGTGGAGGACCAGCACCCCCAGAGCAGCTGGGGCATCTGCAGGGTCCTGGACACCAAGGGAGGGAAAAATGGGGGGAAAGGGAGGAAAAAATGGGGGGAAAGGGAGGAATTTAAAAATGGGGTGGGGGGGCGAGAAAGGAAGGAAAAAAGGGGGAGCAGGGAAAGTTCCTGGTGTTGTTAAACCCTTTTGAGGCAGGGAAAAGATGGAGACCCAGCTGCTGGTCAAGCAATGGCAACGCTGCCCAGCTGGGAAAATTCAAACTCAGGGGATCCTGGTGTCACCAGGGCTGCCTGTCCCAGTGTCCCCAGGGCTGCCTGGCCCCTCCAGACACCCCAGGGACAATTCCCCCTTCCTGCTCTGAGCCCTGCCAGCTGGAAGAGCTGAGGGAAAAGCAAATGTTTGCAGGAGTTCTGCTCCCTGAGCCACACCTGGGCCAGGCAGGGCTGACTCAGAGCTGCTGCCAGGGTGACCTGGTGGCCTCAGCCAGGACAGCAGCCCCTCATCCTGGTGGGATTCCTGCAGAAATGTCAGCCCAAGGATCCCCCACAGCCACCAAGGGGAACAATCCCCACCCTGCAGGGAGCAAACCCAGCCCCTGTCACCCAGCACAGCACCCAGGTGCCACCTGCCCTGGCAGGACACAGGTGACCCTGGCACACCTGGCAGAGCCCAGGTGACCCCAGCACCTGCAGGGTGGGGTTGAGCAGCTGGACTGGATCTTTAATGAGGGAAACAAAGGGGATTTAATGAGTCTGGGTGGGACCCCACCTGCCCCAGCACCTGGGCAGTGCCAGCCCCACATTCCCAACCCCCTGGACAATTCCCAAGCCCCTCTACAAGTCCCAAGCCCTCAGGTTCCAGGTTTTCCTCCAGGAGAAGCTGCCAGGAGCCCCACATTTCACATGCAGCTTCCATGGAGAGCTGCAGCTCTCTCTCCCTCCCCTCCTGAGGGTTTAAAGCACAAAGGCAGGCAGGCACAGCAGCCCCAGCCCATCCCAGAGCCCCCAGGAAAGGAGGAAAGTTGAACTGCAGAGAGCCAAAGGCAGCGTGGGCAGCTCAGTGGCCTCATGCCCGTCCTGGTGCCACCTCCACCCTCAGCCCTTCCCTGCCCTCAGGGAGTCATCCAAGGGATTTTAACTCGAGTGGGCAACCAAACAAGCATGGAGAGCCTGCAGAGAACACGGGGGAGGAGGAGGAGGCTGCACTCACCCCTGCAGCGAAGCCCAGGCTCCCATCAAGGATCCGCCTCTGGAAATAAAACCAAACACAAACCACCCTGAATGTGAGTGTGAGAGCACTGCCCCAGTGCTGGGGAGCTGGGAGAGGCTCCACCAGGCTGGAGAGGGCTCTGCACAACAAGGAATGGCTCCCCACTGCCAGGGGATGGGGTTCAGGGCAGGAATGTGCCCTGGGATGGGATCCCAGAGCAGCCCCTGGATGCTTGGCAGCGCCCAAGGCCAGGCTGGGCATTGGGGTTTGAGCACCCTGGGGCAGTGGGGGTGTCCCTGCCCCTCCCAGGGCAGGTTTTTACCCCTCCCCAAGGCAGGAAACCCAAGTGCTCCTCCAAAGGAAGCCTCCTCCAGCAGCCACCTCCTGAATAAAGCATCACAAGACTGAGGCATAAATAATAAATCCATCTGGGCAATCTGGAGCATCCTGGCCAGGGTGTCTCTAATTTTGGATCCAGGATGACTTAGAGCTCCCCAGTTTGCTCGTTCTGAACATGGACTGACCCAAATCCTGCCCTGGAAATGTGGCAGCAAAACCAGGCTAGAGGCAGGGGAGCTGCAGCTCCCCACACACGCTGAGCCCTGCCCGTGGCTCCAGAGCCCCAGCAGCACATTCCAGCCTCAGCAATTTGATTTCCTCCTGTGTGTTGGGAGCCAGATTTTTCCTCTTCTTGCCCCTCAGAGATGGGAGCAGGCAGGAAAACCCAGCCAGGAGCAGGGCACAGGCCAGATCCTGTGGGATGCCAGGGCTCAGGAGGGATGCCAGGGCTCACCTGCCCTTGGATTGGGATCCTGTGGGATCCTGGGGCTCAGGGGCTGATTCCTGGGCTCACCTGCCCTTGGATCAGGATCCTGTAGGATCCCAGGGGCTATGGGGCTCCTCCCAAGGGTTCATTTGCCCTTGGATTGGGATCCTGTGGGATGCCAGGGCTCAGGGGCTGCCCCAGGGCTCGCCTGCCCTTGGATCAGGATCCTGTAGGATCTCAGGGGCTGCCCCAGGGGCTCTGGGGCTGCCCTAGGGTGGGGCTCCTGTGGGATCTGTGGGTGCCAGGGCTCACCTGCCCTTGGATCAGGATCCTGTAGGATCTCAGGGGCTGATTCCAGGGCTCAGGGGCTGCCCCCAGGGGCTCAGGGGCTGCCCTAGGGTGGGGCTCCTGTGGGATCTGTGGGTGCCAGGGCTCACCTGCCCGCTGGAGAACACGAACACCAGCGCCGAGCCGGCCGCCGTCAGCGCCCAGGTGAGCAGCGTCCCCAGCAGCGCCTGCAGCACCGGGCCCAGCCCCGGGATCATGCTGGCCTAGGACAGGGGAACGTGGGGAGAGCTGCCAGAGCCCCCCAAACCCACCCAAACCCCAGCCAAACCCCTCTGCAGCACCGGGCCCAGCCAGCTCAACCACCCACCCCAAGCTCCCTTTCCCCCTTGGGCGAGGCTTTGCAATTTAAGCCGAGCTCATCGGGACCCAGCACATCCCACCTGGAGCTCAGAGCTCGCCCAGGCCCCTTTTTGTGCCCCCAGCCCGGTTATCCTGGTGTGGAAGGTGAAAACCCTCACAGCACCTGCTCCCTGCACCTCGGGGAAGGGGCAACAAACCCTGGGGCATGGGCTACCAACCCCAGGAATGGCCCAGAGACTGGCAGTGCCATGGAAATACAGCTTAATGAATTCATAATTAATATTTATAATTAATATTTATAATTATATATGCATTACGTTCTAATATCGTTTATAATTCATTCCCAGGCTGGAAATGCGGATTAAGGAATTTATGAGACATGCCTGCACGGATACATTCATGTGTAAATAGAGGGGATACACAGGCACTGATAGATTTATATGTGAATAGATATGAGATATAGACACTGGCAGCTTCAAAGGCTCTCCCAGCCTCGTCCCGAGGCTTTTCCCAACCCCTGCAGGTGCGTGCCCGGCCCAGACCCCCCTCGGCAGATTCCCCCTCCCCACAGGGGTCCTGCAGCCCACGCAGGAGCACCCCAACACCCCCAAAATCCCCTCCCCCAACCCTTCACCGGCACCCCCGGGCCCTCCAGCCGCGGGGCCGGTCCCGGACCCCCCTGAGCCGCTGGCTCACCCCAGGCCGCCCGAACCCCCTCGGCCCCGCAGCCCCGCAGGGCCCGAACCCCCAAACGCGGCGCCCCGGCCGCTGCCAGGACCGCCGCACCCCCAGACGCGGCGCTCCGGGGCGGTGCCGGGGCCCGCTCACAGCGGAGGGTGCCGGAACAGCGCATCCCCCGCGGATCCCCGCTCCGGCCGGCCCCGCTTCCCCCCGGTACCTGCGCCCGGGCCGGGCCGGTCCCGCCGCCGCTTCCGGGTGCGCACACGTGTCCGCAGGCTGGCCCCGCCCCCCGGGGCTCTCAGCCAATGGCAGCGCGGCGGGGGTGGGCCGCCCGCGGCTCTGCGGTTGGCGCGGGCGCGCCCGCCACAAAGCCAGGCGGGCGGGCGGCGCGGGCGGGCGCGGGAAGGCGGTGCTGGCATTGTCATTGTCACCACCCCCTCCCCCCGCTGCATAGAGACCCCCGGACACAGCTTCGCCTTGTCATTAGAGTGCCCTTAGAGTCTCTTCCTTACTGCCACCCCCGCGCTGGCCGCGCCCGTAATCAGCCCGGCTAATTAACAACGCTAATGAGCAGCACGTGGCAGCGTGGGGCAGCGCACAGGGCGAGCAGAGCTCGCTCCGTGGCTAGCGGCCCTCGCTGCCACTCGGGGGTGCAGCCAGAGTCACCTGTCCGCTCGTGGATGTCACAGAATGCCGGAGTTATTGAGGCTGGATAAGATTTCTGGGGTCACCGAGTCCTGCTCTGTCCCCAGGGCAGAGCTCCGGGTGCCACCTCCAGGGATGGGCACTGCAAACCTCCCTGGGCAGCTCCTCTGATGCTTCACAGCCTTTCCATGCAGGAATTTCTCCTGATGCCCTGACACCCCCAAAACCATCATTCCAGGGGGCGGGGGGGCAGAGGCAGCGCTGTCACCGATTCCCCCCGGTCACAGAGCCCGGTGTCCCCCCCGTGCCACACCAGACGGAGCAGGGGTGGCAGAAGGACACTTCTCATGAGCTGTGTGCCACAGCCTCTGCTCAGCCCCAGCTGGGAAAGGTCAGGGCCGTTTGAAAGCTCCCTGATTTAGGATTTAATCAATCTGGCCCCGTAATTGCTGCATCCTTCATTAGCTGCGGGGCCAGGTGCCAGCTGGAAGGGACACGGGGACAGACACACGGAGCTGCCCCCGCCACCCCGGGGGTCCGGGTGACGCTGTGACAGCGTGCTGGCAGGGCTGGGGACAGCTGTGACCTGGCAGGGCTGGCCCTGGGGACACGGGGACACGCTGCACCGGGCTGGGGGCGGCTGGCAGCGATGGCCCTGCCTGGGGACGTGTGGGTGGCAATGGGGACAGCTGTGGTGGCTCTGTGCAGGAGCATCAGCAAACCCAACTGCCACCCACGGTCCCCAGTGTCACTTCTGTGTGCAGGGACACTTCAGTGTCACAGCCCTGCCTGTCCCAGTGTCACATTCCTACCTGTCCCCTCAGTGTCACAGCCCTGCCTGTCCCCTCAGTGTCACATTCCTGCCTGTGTCAGTGTCACAGCCCTGCCTGTGTCAGTGTCACAGCTCTGCCTGCCCCAATGTCACAGCCCTGCCTGTCCCAGTGTCACAGCCCTGCTTGTCCCAGTGTCACAGCCCTGCCTGTCCAGCAGGGAAGGAGCAGGCCCAGAGCCCCTAAAATGCACTTTTAACACCCAGAGGGGACAAATCCGCTGCCATCCCCCATCGGGGGAATGAGACCCTACAAGGGGCAGCTCCAGGGAGCAGCCAGCACCCAAATCCTTTGGGATTTTTTGCCATAAAACTGTCTGGGCAGAGAGGCACGTCCCACCCAGGGCTGGCACCAGGCACTGCCGGCTGAGGGTGTCCCTGGGAAGGGCCAGCGTGTCCCTGCAGTGTCCCCTCCGTGCAGGCTGGGCTCACGGCCGGGCTCTTTCCCAACCCAAATCCATCTGTGTCAGCCTGGAGCCAGCCGGGATGGCGAGACAGGCAGTGAGGACACGCGGGGCTGTCCCCAAGGACGGGCCAGGCGGGGTCACGGTCCCATCCCACGGGCTGAGGTCCCCGATTTGTCCCAGGACACAAAGGAACGCTTCCATCCTTCTCCTGCGGCCTGGGGCTGGCCGGGAGGGACGCGAGGGTCCCTCTGCAGGGCAGGGACAGCGCGGAGTCCCGGCGGGTGCTGGCACCAGCCGTGACATTGCCAGCTGGAACAAAGCCCGGCTGCCACAGGCAGCCTGCTCAGGCCCGGTTTAACGCCAGGACCCTCCCGGGAGCCAGGCACAGCCGGCACAGGAGCCGGGATCTGGGGCCGCGCCTGCCAAAGGCCCATTAGTGTCAGCGCTCCGGGCCGTGATTCACCGGCCAGGCGGCGGCCGAGCCCTGCCTGCCCCTCCGGAGATCAATAAACCAATTAGGGAGCAAATAACGGCGGGCCGAGAAGGGCAGGGCGGCGGGGGAGGAAGGAACCGCCTGTGGGGAGGTCTGGAAGCAGCAGGAGCCGGGATGGGGTGCGGAGGGGAGACCCCCGGGGTGCAGAGAGCGCTGGGGGTGTGGGTGCTGCCCTGGATCCCGGCGGGGGACACTGCCCCGGATCCCGGGTATGGGTCCTGCCCCGGATCCTGAGAGGTTCTGGATGCTGCCCAGGATCCCAGGTCTGGATGCTGCCCCAGATCCTGAGAGGTTCTGGACCCTGCCCCAGATCTCGGGTGTGGATGCTGCTCTGGATCCCGGCAGGTCTGGATGCTGCTCTGGATCCCGTGGGATATGGATGCTGCCTCGGATCCTGAGAGGTTCTGGATGCTGCCGTGGATCCCGGGTGGAGCACTGCCCCGGATGCCAGGTCCGGATGCTGTGCCGGATCCTGAGACATTCTGGATGCTGCCCTAGATCCCGGGGGTGGATGCTGCCCCGGATCCTGAGAGGTTCTGGATGCTGCCCCGGATCCCGGGGGTGGATGCTGCCCCGGATCCTGAGAGGTTCTGGATGCTGCCCCGGATCCCGGCAGGTCCGGATGCTGCCCCGGGCGCAGGTGACGGCGCCAGCGCCTCTCCCCCGCCATCCATCAGCGCTGCAGACGCTCCCGATTAGATCTGGCAGCCACCAGCCGGTCCTGCCGCGCCTCGGGGTGCGGGGACATGGCCCAGACTGTTTGTCTGGCTAATTAGCAGAGAGCGAAGCCTCCCCCCAGCCCGGGCATCCCTGAAACGCGGCCAGGCCGCCTCCAGGCACGAATCAGCAGAGCCACCGAAGCCACCCGGGGCTGCTGGGCTGGAGCTGGGACGGGAAAAGGCAGGGAAAGGGCAGTGCCAGCCCGAGTGCCCCTGGGACAGAAACAGCACGGTCATCCCTGCCTGTGCTGGCCTTGTCCCCACGGCCGCAGGGGACAGCGGGGTCCCTCTGAGGGCAGAGGGGAGGAGGGGGCTGGGGCACCACGGAGCTGCTCAGGGCCGGCTCTCCAAAGAGAGATCATCATCTCCAAGAGATCCACAGGGATGCTCGGGCTGGCTGCACAGCAAATCCTTCCCCTCCTGGGGGACAGCAGCTGCACCCCCTCCCTGCCCAGCCCAGCCCCCTCCATTCCTGCCTCCATGCCATGGATCCAGGAGAAAGGCCAGCTCACCCTACCCCTCCGTTGGCATCCCAGCCCCAGCTCCTTACAACACTCATTTCCAGGACAGGGGTCGAGAGCTCTGTTTTCCACAGGGACTCTTGTGGAACAGCTGGGAAGGGATGGCAGAAAGCTTGGAAGGGTTTTTAAAGCCTCTCTGTGGTCACATAACCCCCGTGCCCCTCTCCCAGGGGTTATTTCGCTGTGTGGGAAGGGGCTGTGTGTTCCTCCTCTCTCCAGCCCTGCCAGTAAATCGCTTTTCAGCGCTGTGGATGCTTCCCAGGCAAAAGGACAAAGAGGAGTTTATCTGCCAGCACCAAACCAGCTGCTGGTACAGCGTCCCTCCGAACCAGGGACCACCCAGGGACACAGAGCAGACTCTGCACTGGGCTTTAATTCAGCCCCAAAACTAGGCAGAATGAAAAATAAAATCCCTTCAAAAGGCTCAAGGATGGCTTCCTGACTCAGGCAGCTGCTGCTGCCCTCCTCCTGGATGGAGATCAGCTCCCATCAGCTCCTCAGTACCCACCGGGCCATCATTTCATTAATTTGATGGGGTTTTTAATGAAGATCAGATCTGGGTTCAGCCAGGCTGAACTGGCTGGATTCCCCCAGCTCCCTGGCCCCGGTTTCCCAGTGAGGTGGAAGTGAGAGGCAGGGAGGGGCTGGAGCCCTGCTGCTCCCCAGGCAGCCCCAGGAGCTGGAAGAACCCTGTGCTCCCCCTGCTCGCTTCTCCAGCCCCCTGGGCTCTCTCCAGCCGGGAGAGGCCCCTGCCAGCCGGGCTGGGGTGGTCTCGGTGCCATGGCTTGGTGACCAGGGAGCCCCGGGGAGGGACGTGGCGGCATCACCTGCTCCGGGGAGAGATTCAGGAGCAGCGCTGGGAGTGCTCCCGGCCACCACTGCCGGGGGAAGGACATCGCTGCAGGGCACACGAACCAGCCAGGAGAGGATAAAGCAGCTCTGGAAAGGGCACAGGGCACCAAACGCCTCTCCTGGGCTCTCCTCCCTCCTCCGGGGGCCGGTGCAGCCAGCCAGGGACTGCCGTTCCACGGGACACCCCGGAGATCCGATCCCCTCACAGCAGCCGAGCATCCCCTTCACCCCCCTCCTCTCCCACTATTACCGGGACATTAATTCCCACACCATCTTCAGCAGAAGCAGCTTTTTCCTGCCTCCTAAAGATTAATGAGGCTGATAACGACTCTGCCGGTGCTCCAGGACCTGATGTCTTTAGATCCGCCTTGGGAAGTGGATGGCGAAGTGAAAACGAGGAGCTCCCGGCCGCACTCGGCAGCCTCAGCGCGGGGCTCTTTGTTCGCAGTCACTCTTAATTTCCTGCTCTCTATTGTCTCCTGGACAAGTGATGGGAAGAGGGGCAGGAATAGAGATAATTTAATTGCTCTCAAGATCCCAAACAAACCAGAGCAGAGGTTATCTGCCCCAAACCTCTCCTTTTTGGTCTTCCTCCTCCAGGGAGAGGCTGTGGCAAGAGCCACCTGTACTACACAAGTCCCCAGAGACCCCAAATATTTCAGCATCACCTTCCAACCTCTCCCAGATGGGAGGACCAGCAAGAACCTGCCTTGGCTTGGCAGTGGAAGCAAGATGCAAACTGCTGGGGCCAAAGAATTTCCAGCGTTCCAGGGAGCCTTTGGGGCTCTCAGAATCCTTTTGAGTCACCCTCCATTGGGTTCCCAGCACGCTTCCCTCTCCCTGGTGTCTCTGGAGGAGCTGAGGCTGTGGCTGGAACCAAGTCGCGGCACAGTGGGGCGGCAGGGCTGGAGGCAGGGTGGGCACAGCAGGAGAGGGAACGCAGGCGGGGTGGACAGGACAGGGTGGGCAGTGTGGGGAAGGTGGGTAGGACAGGCTGGGCAGCACAGGCTGGGCAGTGTGGGGAAGGTGGGCAGCGCAGGGTGGACAGAGCGGCGCTGCCGGCGCCTCCCCGGTGCCGCCGGGCCGGGCCGGGCGGGGCCGGGCGGCGGCGGGAGCAGGTGAGCGGCGGGGCAGCTCCGCCCGGTGCCCTCTGCAGCGGAGGAGGACGGGGCCGGTGCTGGGGGGATCCCCGCAGAGAGCCCCCCGGGCTCGGCGTGCCGGTGCCGGCTGGGGGGGAAGGGGCTGCACCCGCCCAACGGCCGGGAGAGGAGGAGGCTTTCCCCCGGCGCTCGGTGCTCCCGGGCATCAGTCGCACCCACCGGGACGCACCGGCTGGATTTGTGGAGTTGGAAAGACTCCGGGATCGCCAGAGCCGGGAGGAGCTGTGGCGTGCTCGGGCAGGCTGCTCCAGGAGATGGGCAGATGGGTTGGGAACCTCCCCTGCAGGGAGCTTCTCTCCCGCTGAGCTTGGCAGCAGGATGGACAGATCCTCCCCAGGAATCCCTTCATTTCTATTTACTCTCTGATTTCTAGAATCTTCTCCTCTCTCCCCAGAGCCAGGGAAGATGACATCTCCGTTCCTCTGAGCCAGCAGTGCCCAGGGAGAGCCATGGAGTACGAGCTGCCCAACGCCACCGCCTTCTGGTTCTCCCCGGCCTCCCCCTTCGACAACTTCTCCCTGGAGGCACCCACCAACACCTCCCAGAACGCCACGGGCCAGCACTTTGACCTGACCAGCAACGCCATCCTCACCTTCATCTACTTCGTGGTGTGCATCGTCGGGCTGTGCGGCAACACGCTGGTCATCTACGTCATCCTGCGCTACGCCAAGATGAAAACCATCACCAACATCTACATCCTCAACCTGGCCATCGCCGACGAGCTCTTCATGCTCGGCCTGCCCTTCCTGGCCATGCAGGTGGCCCTGGTGCACTGGCCCTTTGGCAAAGCCCTCTGCAGGATTGTCATGACGGTGGATGGCATCAACCAGTTCACCAGTATCTTCTGCCTGACGGTTATGAGTGTTGACCGGTACCTGGCTGTGGTCCATCCCATCAAATCTGCCAAGTGGAGGCGGCCCAGGACAGCCAAAATGATCAACGTGGCCGTCTGGGGCGTCTCCCTGCTGGTGATCATGCCCATCATGATTTATGCTGGGGTGCAGCACAACCACGGCAGGAGTAGCTGCACCATCATCTGGCCGGGAGAGTCGGGCGCCTGGTACACGGGATTCATCATCTACGCCTTCATCCTGGGCTTCCTGGTGCCTCTCACCATCATCTGCCTTTGCTACCTGTTCATCATCATCAAAGTCAAATCCTCGGGCATCAGGGTGGGCTCCTCCAAGAGGAAAAAGTCCGAGAAGAAAGTCACCAGGATGGTGTCCATCGTGGTCGCCGTCTTCATCTTCTGCTGGCTCCCCTTCTACATCTTCAACGTCTCCTCTGTGTCCGTCATGATCGTGCCCACGCCCGTCCTCAAGGGCATGTTCGACTTCGTGGTGGTGCTGAGCTACGCCAACAGCTGTGCCAACCCCATCCTCTACGCCTTCCTGTCCGACAACTTCAAGAAGAGCTTTCAGAACGTCCTGTGCCTGGTGAAGGTCAGCGGCATGGACGAGGCCGACCGCAGCGACAGCAAGCAGGACAAATCCCGCCTCAACGAGACCACGGAGACGCAGAGGACCCTGCTCAACGGCGACCTGCAGACGAGCATCTGAGGGGACGGCGGGTTTGTCCTGCCTGCGCCCCTCCCCGGCTGCAGCAGGGGGTGGCACCACGGGGTCAGGGCAGGAATGCCACCTGAGGGGACCCATGGCCTCGGGGCTCCTCTGCTGGGCTCCTCTCTGCTGGGTTTGCTTTCGAGTGCTGGGAAGGATACGGATCAGGAGGAGCCGCCTCGCCAGCAAGACAAAGACAACTCACGGCGACACCAAAGTGCCACCGTGGGCACAGGTACGGCCGGGGTCCCCCGTGCCACCCTCGGGGCCGGCTGGCTTTAGGGCTCTGCACCTGGACACATCGGGCGACCTCAGGAGGAGCCGAGGCCACAGGTGTGTGACAACACGAGGACGCACCGACCTGGTGGGATCTCCCGGCGAGTGTCCCTCCCGAGGCGACCGGGATGTTTAGGATTGCGTTTTCCCCGGGTTAATCCTTGCTCCGCCGCGTGCCCTGCCGCCTCCCCGCGCTGTGTGCCTGCCGCAGCCGCCCTGCCCGGAGGGGACACGCCAGCACGGAGGTGACATCCCCAGGGGAAGCAGCTGTGCCCCCGCAGCAGCCCCTGCCTCCTGCAGCCCTGCGGTGTCCCGCTGCTGCAGAGCCCTTTCCCTGGCCCTGCCGCAGATTTTTCTCCTCGGATGGAGAATTTCTTTTCCCTTTGCCCTCCCCTGCCCCTCCCTCCGCCCGCACCGGCCGGTCCCACGCTGCGCCGGCAGCCGCGGCCGCTGCTCCGGGCACCACGAGCGCTCCGCTCCCTGCTGGGAAATCCTTGGAAGTGTTTCAGCGGCGGTGACACGCTGGAGAAGCCTGGCACGGACACCTCACGCTGCCAGCGGCTCCTGTGCCCGGCTCAGATCGGGGCTTGTCCGGCCACGGCTCCGAGGATCTCTGGGCTGACACCTCCCTGCTCCTTCCAGGCAAGTCACGCCGGAGGCAGGGGTGATGGAGAGCATGGGGACGGGCAGGGGGGGCTGGGGGCTCGCTCCCCACCCTTGTCCGAGCCCAAGGCACCGGGCAGAGCAGACAGCGGGGCACCCAGCCGGGGATGGGGAAGGGCAGGGCAGCGCGGATCCATCCCCCTGGATCCTGCACTGTGCGAGGGGCAGCGGGGCTGGCCCCACATCCGCTCTATTTGCCTTCCCAAGACTGTCCCGAAGCGTTCGGTCCTGTCCCTGTCCCTGTCCCTGTCCCTGGCTGCCCTCCCAGCTCAGCATAAACCCGGGGCTCTGACCCCCCCGCCCCGAAGCCCCTCCTTGGCCAGCGCAGCGGGAGCTCCAGGGAAAGCCCAGGGGAGAGGGAGAAGTGCCGGTTTCCTGCCGGAGCACCCGGAGCAGCGGCCGTGCCAGAGGCCGGATTTGTTCACAGGCCCCTGCTGCAGAGCTGAGCCGTGGGAACAGGGGGTTTGGGTGGAGAGAACAGCCGGGGCTCGGTCACCCTGCCCTGTGCCACCATCTCCAGCAGAACGGAGCCTTCACCCGCGGTACAGGCAGTGTGGGAGGTGAGGCTGCACCAGGTGCCACCTGCCTTGGGGTGCCACCTGCTCAGCCAGGTGATGCTCCATCCCACAGCACCAGCTCTGGCTGAAGTTTGCCCGTGGCTCTGCCCCAGATCCCAGCCTGGGCCATCCCATCCTGCTGTGCCACCCCTGCCAGCTCCCAAAAAGGGCTCGGTGCCAGGGTACCTGCTCCTGGCTCTGCTGCATGCTGCATTTACTGCAAGACAAAGCAGAGCCGTGTCAGCAGTTGTTTGCTTTTAACTCTTTCCTGCTCCTCCGAGGTACAGCGCCAGCGTTCAGGTGCCCGTGTGGCACCTCCCTGTCCCCTCGCTGGGCAGGGAGCGCGGCCCGGGGTGGGGAGTGCGCTGACCCCGGGCTCGGGGCACGGCGGATCCCTGCTGACGCTGCAGGAATTGCAGCAGCAGCAGCTCGGGGCACGGTGAAGGCCCGGGGAGGGCCGGGAGCGGGGCTGGGCTCGGTGTCACAGCCGCAGTGATGCGTCAGTGCCGCCGTGGGCACTCCGTGGGGGCGGTGTGAGCGCCGAGAGCGGGCGTGTGATGGGGAGGGGGATGTGTGGAGCCCCCAGCACTCACCTGCAGCCAGGCCAAACCCGGGTTTGCCGATGTCCGACTCCATCCCAGCTGTGTCTGTGCAAGCCTTGTCACCAAAATCCCGATGGATGGATGGGACACCTGTTCCCAACTGTATCCCCACAGGAGCACCTCCCTCTGCGCTGGTTTGATGTGGAAATACAGAAATCCTGGGAATTCCCTCCCCAGAGCAGCTTTGTCCTGGCAAACCCGCAGGCAGTGACACTTCTGGGTGCTCAGAGTGGGATCTGAAATGTGTCCCTGCTTTTCTGGGATGGGGATAAGGGGGCTGCAGGTGAGGAATGAGGGGTGTGGGGCGTTGCCACCAACATCCCAAAGGCCACCGAGGCAGGATGCAGCAGGGCAGGGGCACCAGGTGGCTCCTGGCGGCTGCCAGGGCTCTCCTTGGCCACTTTTCCACAGCTCACTGAGAAAAAAGTGCAGGAAAGCAAAATGTGCTGCCTTAGAGTGCTGGGAAGGAGCTGCAGCCACGGCCCACCAGTGGCTGTAAAACCAGCAAAATAAAACCTTCTGCTGTTCATTGCTGACTAATAAACATCAGCCCCGCTGCTGCTGCTGCTGGTAACGAAGTTTTCCTTCCCAGCCACTTGATTTTAGTGGGAACTTGACCTCAGATTGGATCTGCTCTGCACAGCCTGGCAGGGCTGCTGGTGGCGGGATGAGAAATCTCTGCTGGTGACTGCAGAGCCAAGAGACTGAGCCTGCAAGTGCTTCACACACAGCCTGGCCCTGGGCAGCAGGGATCAGTGACAGCTCCTGCCTGGAGAGGCAGGGAGGGCGTTTTCCCAAATCCCAGGTGTTGGGAAGCACAGATTGGGGTGTGCCACAAGCTCCCCAGGATGCCCAGAGCAGGGGTATGGGTCACTCCTGAATCCTGCCAGTCCCAGGAGGCCTCCCCAAAGCCCATGGGAACCAATTCCCCTTTTCCTGCTCACCGCTGCTTCCCCAGAGAGGCTGAGGGGTGTCTCCAGAGCTCCCCAGTCCCACGGGATCCACCTGCATGGAGACATCCCTGCTGTCCCCTTCCTCATCCCCGTGTCCCCTCGGACCCAGCCTGGCTCTGGGCACTCTGCTGGCCAGTGCCCCGCTGTGCTCCAGAGCCAAATCCTGCTCAGGTGGGCAGGAGGGGCTGGGGCTGGACCTGGAGCCTTCCCAGAGCACCTCTGCAGCTCCTCGTGCCGGCTCCAGCGCTGCCTGGGACTGAAATAATCTCTGAACTGCACTGCCGTGTGTCTGGGGGGTTCCCCACGCTGCCACGGTGGGAAGAGCCTTGTCTTTGTGGGACACTGCACTGAGGGCTCCCAGAACTGCCCAGCTCCCCATCCAGCCCCTCCCCAGGCGAGGAGAGCTCCCAGGCTCCGATCCAGCCTCAGATTCCAGGCTGCTCAGGGAGAGTCTCCATCCCCTCCCTGCCGCTGCTCCAAGGGGAAATCACCAGCGAGGCACCAGCAAAGGACACAGCAGACCCCAAAGCTGCCTTCCTGCTGCAGAGCCTGGAACACACTGCTGCTGCCCAGCCCAGGGCACCCCTGCCCTTCCCTGCCAGCCTCTGGCACCCAGCTGGCACCTGGCCATCCTGAGGGATTCCAGCTCCACTCCCTGCTTCCTCCAGGACCTGGACTGTGAAAAGCCAGGACAGGAGAGTCAGACTGGGAGGATCCTCCTCTTACACAAACATTTCATATTTCTAAAACTCAAAACTTAAAATTCCAACACTCCTCCAGCTGTGTCCCGACCAGGAGAGATGCTGAGGGGTGCAAAGCCTGGCCACTCCCTCTATCCATCCCTCCATCGATGGATCCCTCCATGGATTCCATCTCTCCATGGATTCCATCTCTCCATCCCACCCCACGCCGTGTTTGGGAGGAGGGATGGGATGGTTACTGATTGTAAATACATGTAAATTGTATATACTGGATGTGCCCAGGGGGTTTTCTGTTCACAGCCCCACAGGGCACCCTTGGCTCCCCCTCGCCCTCCCCGTGTGCCAGGGGGTTGGTGGCACCATGCACGAGCCAGGAGGGACCACGGAGGCTGCTGCCACTCTGCCAGGTGACTTCTGCAGGGCAAGGGAGGTGAAGGGAGGTCTCTGTTCCCTGCAGAGATCCAGGGCAGCACTGTCCATCCCCCGTGTCCGTAGCTGGGCCTGTCCGTGGCTCCGTGGTCACCAGGACGTGCTGAGGCCGTGTCCCTGCTCCCAGCCCTGTTTTTCTCCCTGGCAATCATTCCTCAGAGTCCCGGCGTGGGACTGAGCCTCCTGCAGCAAAAGTTCCTGACTGCCACGGTCTGTGTCACAGGAGGGAAATAAAAGAGTTTTCCTACAGTTTCTGGTTGTTTGTGTGTGTTGGAGCAGCGGGATATGAGCTAGGCTTGGACACCTCCCTGCCAGTGATTGTTCAGGTTGGAAAACCCCTCAAAGACCTCCAAGTCCAACCTTGGCACCAAAGTCACCTCAGCTGCTGCCCAGGCCAGCACTGCCCCTGTCCCCAAGTGCCACATCCACACAGCTTTAAATCCTTAATCCAGGGATGGGGACTCCCCCACTGCCCTGGGCACCTCCAGCGCCTGGCAGCCCTTTCCATGAAGAAATTCCTCCAGATGTCCAACCTGCCCTGCCCTGGCGCCGTTTGAGGCAGTTTCCTCTCATCCTGCCCCTGGGAGCAGAGTTTATCAACTCCTAGAAACAAAAAGTTGAGCTCTGAGCAGCTGTGCAGGCCAGCAGCACCAACACCGCCCACACAAACAAACCGAATCACGCCAAAACACCCGGGATTCTTTCTCTTCCATCTCAATTTCCAGCACCAACAGCCTCACCCCCGAGCCCACCTGCTCCGCCTGCAGCCGCATCTCCCGCGGAGCTGGATCCTGCCTGCCTCTGGATCTGCCTCTCCCTTGGGGCTGGAAGGGACCTTAAACTCAATCCCATCTTGGATGGATTTTGGGGGAATATCCCGGTGCTCAGAGCGGTGTTTTTGGACGGGGACAATGAGCAAACAGCCCGGTTCGAACCAAGCCCCCCCAACCCAAAGCGCCCTGAGGGCAAAACCTCCCGGGGTGTGTGGAGTGACAGCGGCACCCGCAGGCCGCGGAGCCCGACCCGTTTCTCGGGAAACGGGGAAGAAAAAGAAAACGCGATTAAATAAATAAACAAACTATAAATAAAATAAATAAAGCGGCGTTCGCTCCCCTCAGGCCGCGTCGCCGTGGCAACGCGGCTGTGCCCGGCACAAAGATGGCGGCACTGCCATGGCAACAGCACGGGGGTGGGCTGTGCCCGGAACAAAGATGGCGGCGGCGCTGCCGTGGCAACGGTACCCGGGTGCGGCTGTGCCCGACAAAAAGATGGCGGCGCTGCCGTCGGCACCCAGGCCTGGGTGTGCCCGGCACAAAGATGGCGGTGCTGCCGTGGCAACTCAGCCGGGTGCCCGGCACAAAGATGGCGGCGCCGCGCCGCGGTGACGCCCGGAAGCGCCATCCCTTTCCCGTGATCAAGATGGCGGCGGTGGCTCCGCCGGCGCGGGCAGGGTCTGGTGCTGATGTCGCTGTGGCGGCGATGGCGGCGCGCGGCGCCGAGGCTGAGGCGCTGTTTGAGGCGCACACGGCGGCCGAGCTGCGGGCGGTGGAGCGGCGGCTGCGCGCCGGCATCGAGCAGAAGCGGGAGGAGCTGCGGCAGATGGTGGGCGAGCGCTACCGCGACCTCATCGAGGCGGCCGACACCATCGCCGAGATGCGGCGGAGCGCCGAACGCCTGCTGGGCGCCGTGAGGGGGCTGCAGCGCGGCGGCACGGCCCGGCCCGGCCCCGCCGGCACGGTGAGGGGCAGCGGGGCGGCCACAGAGCCCCTCACGGCCTCTTTCCCCCTTGCACCCACTCTTATCCCCTCACTCCATCTCCCTGCCTGGCCCCTTCTCCCATCTTCCTCTCTTCCTCCACATCCCTTTTTCTCTCCGCTCATCCCGTGGTTTTGCCCCACTTTTATCTCCCCGTCTATTTTTTCATCCCTTTTTCTCCCCTGAGCCCTGTGTGCCCCTTCCAGGTTCGCGCACCGGCCCACCAGAGTTTTTACGGGGCAGCCACAGAACCAACCCCTCACGGCCTCTTTCCCCCTTGCACCCACTCTTATCCCCTCACTCCATCTCCCTGCCTGGCCCCTTCTCCCACCTTCCTCTCCTCCTCCGCATCCCTTCTCTCCACTCATCCCCTATTTTTGCCCTTTTATCCCCATCTACTCCCTCATCCTCTGTTTTCCCTTTCCAGGTTCTCCCACCGGCTCACCAGAGTTTCTACGGGGCGGCGGCGCAGCTGAAGCTGCTGCTGGAGGTTCCCGAGCAGGTTTGGGGGGCGGTGGAAGGCGGCCGCTACCTGCCCGCCGCCCGGCTCCACCTGCTCGGGGCTCACCTGCGCCGCCAGCTGCAGCTGGACACCCCCCGAGCCCGCTCCAGCGCCATCCTCGCCCGCTTCCCCATCCTGCTGCGGCAGGTGGCAGCTGCCAGCCACCTCAGGTGCGTCGGGAGTGGGGCACGGGAGGGCTGGCTCGGGAGGGGGTGAGCCCCTGGCACAGGTTACACTGAGAAGATTTGGCTGTCCCATCCCTGGGAATGTCCCACGGAGCAGGCTGGTTTAGGGATTTGGAAGGGCTCGATGCTAAAGAGCCTCCCAGCCCAAAGCACTCGCTGTCAGTGGGACTCAGACACAGCCCAGGGAAGGCAGGACAGAAATCGGCTGCAGCAAGGCGGGAGAATGATTCTTCACTGTCCCAAGAGGCTCTGCCTGAGGCAGCTGCACCTGGATCCCACAGGAGAGCCCAGGGCAGGTGCCAAGCTGGGAGCACAGTGCCCCAGGAATGCCCTGGAAAGCTGGCAGGCAGGGAAAGAGGGATGTGAGGGAATATCCCATGGCCAGCAGCACATCCTGGGGGCTCCATCAGGTAACGGGACTGGACTGACAGGGATTTAGGGAGATCCTTTCCAACCCAAACCATTCCACCAGCCTGGCACAAAAACCATCTCTCCAGTCCTGTAATCCCCAGATACAAGCAGCACAGTGTGGAAAGAGCCACACTTTGGCAGCCCCTCCGCGAGCCCAGCTGGGCGTGTGGCTCGGGCAGTGACTCCCAGCTGGTTCCTGTGGCAGATCCACCATCCTGCAGGAGAGCAAGGCCCTGCTGCGCTGCCCCACGGGCTCGGACCAGGCGGTGGCAGAAGCCCTGTGTGCCATCATGCTGCTGGAGGACAGCTCCCCACGGCAGGCCCTGGCTGACTTCCTGCTGGCCAGGAAACTGGCCATCCAGCAGCTGCTCAACCAGCCACACCACGGTCAGTGCCGCGGGGCTGCTCCCTGGGGAGCTCGGGGTGAGCCTTCCCTTCGCCTCCTCCTGCCCCCACTGCAGGGATGGGAGATTCCCATAAATGGGAAAATGGTGAATGGGAAGGTGGGAGGTTCCCATAAATGGGAAGATGGGGGATTCCCCTAAATTGAATTGTGGCAGGGACACTGCAAAAAATCACAAAAATTAATGGTTCTCAAGGGCTTAGGTCAAGCCCATCTGTAATGGGGAAGCAGGTGGGGCATGAGGGTGAATCCTTCCAGCCCTTCCTGGAAGGGATCATTGGAAGGGTCAGTGCCACTGACCTGTGCTGAAGGGCTGCCCTGGCTCAAGGTCACCTCTCTGCAGGCGCAGGTATCAAAGCCCAGGTGTGTTCCCTGATGGAGCTGCTCACCACCACGCTGTACCAGGCCCACGCTCTCTTCTACACCGTGCCCGAGGGGATGGCCCCGGAGCCAGCCCTGCCCTGTGGATTGCTCTTCTCCACCCTGGAGAGCAGCACGGGCCAGAACCCTGCAGGTGAGGCCTGCACCTGCCCAGGAGTGCAGGCAGGAGGGTGCCCTGTGCTGGGCTGATCCCTGGCTGTGATTCCAGGGAGAGGAGGGGTGCTGGAGGAGGATCTGAAGCTGAGCAGTTGGTTCAAGTACCTGCCCGAGTCCGTGGTGGAATTCCAGCCCGCCCTGCGGACCCTGGCACACCCCATCAGCCAGGAGTACCTCAGGGAGACCCTGCAGCAGTGGATCAACATGTGAGTGGGACAGGGCAATCCCAGCCTGGCTGCCTTCCTCCTCATCCCCTCATCTTCCTCATCCTCCACCCTGATTGAAGCAACCAGAGGCAGCACAGCACACCCAGCAGCCAGGCACCCTATGCCAAGACCTCACCCCCCTCACAGAGGTGACACTTTGCCTCCAGGTGCAGTGATGACATCAGGACAGGGGTCAGGACCCTGCTGGTGTATGTGAAGAGCATGAAGGGGCTGGCAGGGATCCGTGATGCCGTGTGGGAGCTGCTGTCCAGCGAGTCCAGCAGCCACAACTGGGAGGCCATGTGCCGGCGCCTGCTGGACAGGCCTGTGTCCTTCTGGGAGGAGCTGCTGCAGCAGCTCTTCCTGGACAGGCTGCAGGTGGGTGCTGTGATGTGGGATCCTTGCTCTGCACCCCCAGGTGTTGTCTCACCCAGCTCACAGCACACTGAGGGTGTGTTTTTGTGGCACATTGTAATTGGTTTTTTCTCCTGGTTCTGTTGCAGACTCTGACCAAAGAAGGCTTCGACTCCATTTCAAGCAGCTCCAAGCAGCTGCTGGCTGTAGCCTTGCAGGAGTTGGAAGTGAAAGCTGGCAGCGGTGCCCTGAGCAAGCAGATCCAGCTGGAACACAACGTGGCCCTGTTCCTGTGGTCGGAGAGCCCCGGGGACCTGCCCGGGGACGCGGCGTGGGTCAGCGTGGGGCAGCGCGGGCCCTTCGCCCGGAGCGGGCTGGCCATGAAGGCACAGGCGCTCACTCCGTGCGTGCAGAGCTTCTGCTCCACGCTGGACTCCAAGCTGAAGGCCAGGCTGGAGGATGTCCTGTCCTACCTCCCCGGGGACGACTCTGTCCCCAAGGAGCCCGCGGTGCCACCGCGCTCTGCCTTCGACCGCTTCGCCGACGCCGGCACCGTGCAGGGGCTGCTCCGTGACCGCTGCGTCACCTGCGTCCAGCACCTCCTGGGCTGCATCCAGGAGCAGCTCCAGAGTGCCCAGAGCCAGCTGGACCCTCCTGGGGACGCCAGGCTCAACGCCGTGCTCTTCATGGCCAGGCTGTGCCAGGCCCTGCCCGAGCTGTGCCCTCACCTGCAGCGCTGTGTGCTGGGCCAGGCGGGCGGTGCGGAGTCGGCGCCCAAGGAGCCACGCTCTGCCAAGAAGCTGGGCAAGGGCAAAGCCCCAGAGGTGTCCCCCGAGCTGGCCAAGTGGCAGGGGGTGAAGGCAGAGCTCCTGCAGCAGAGCCTGGTGGCTTATCGGCTCTGGAGCTCGGCTGTCACCAAAGTAAGGAGCAGTTTCCCTCCTTGGAGATGGTTTTGGGGAGGGTTCCCTTGCTGGGGCTGCCCTGAGCTCCCTGTGCTGCTGCCCGGTCAGAGAGGGGTGGCTGCAGGGGCTTGGTGTCCCTGAGGTTCGCTTTGGGAGGTGCAGGGGTGCAGCAGGTCACAGGCAGGGTGGGCTGGCTGGCCTTGGCCCTGTTAGAAGTGTCCTGTGATCAGAACTTTCGTTGTTGTGCTCCAGGGTCTGGTTCAGTCCTTCACCCACTCGTTGCTGCTTGACACGGCTGGCTCTGTCCTGGCCACGGCCACCAACTGGGACGAGATTGAAATCCAGGAGGAAACCGAGTCTGGGAGCAGCGTGACGTCCAAGATCCGGCTGCCTGTGCAGGTACGAGGAGCAGCCTGTGGGAGGAGCCCAGCACTGGCTGAGCTGCTGGGGAGGGTGTTTGGTGTCAGAACAGAGGACAAACACTCTGTGGTGCTCTTTGAGATACTCACCTCGTGAGGACAGAGGTCAGAGGAAGGAAATAGGTCATTGTCGCTGTTTATCTCCATGAGTAAGGTTGGCCCAGATCCTGTAAAACTGAGCCAGCGGAGTACTTAGGCCTGGTTTAAACACAGAGGTCCCAGGAGAGATTCCATGGAAGTTGGATGCATTGAAGGACAGGGCTGCAGCAGCGGGACTGTGGAATCCTAAGGGAATTGAGGCACGTGGCTTCCCAAGGGTGTGGTGGTGGCACAGGAAGGACCTCACAGGGACAGAGCAGGTGGCAGGGGGGAGGGGACCAGGCCTGGAGTGAGTTCTGTGTTTGCACAGCATGGGAGGGGCTGGACAGGGAAATGCAGTGAGCCTTATCCAGTGAATTCTGTTATCTGAGGGGAAAAGCAGCTGGGTGAGAATTCAGGAGGCCCAGGAGGTGAGGGAGGAACAGCCCCAGGGAGTGGGTGGGCAAAGCAGGGCCTGTGCTGACAGAAGATGCACAAGCAATTCTCTTCTCACTGCATTCAGTGTCTGGCAAAGTCTTTTTGGGGCTTTGGGAGCTGCTGTAACCCAAAATCTGAGGTGTCAGTAACCCAGACCCTGTGAGATGCCTGAGCCAAGCTGTGGGGCAGAGCTTTGTGGCTGCTGAGGAAGTGGGACACTCCCACCAGCCAGCTGAAGGGATGTGGAAGGGAATGGAGTTTACAGAGCAACTGCAAATAAACTGTGTTCTCCTGCCCAGCCCTCGTGGCACGTGCAGTGCCTCCTGTTCAGCCTGTGCCAGGAGGTGAACAGGGTTGGTGGGCACACCCTGCCCAAGGTCACCCTGCAGGAGCTGCTGAGGAGCTGCATGGCAGAGGTGCTGGCTGCCTATGGAAAGCTGGTGGAGCAGAAGCAGGAGAAGGTACCTGGGTGTGGGATGGGAGGGAGAAGGTACCTGGGAATGCAGGGCCACATCCAGCTCATGCCTGTCCTGACAGCTGGAAAGGGGACACCCTTACACGCATCCTGCCTCCCCCACAGCTGAGGCAGACACCAGATTTCACACTCTGGTTGTGCCTTGGGGTGGGTGTTCTCAAATACTGCCCCTTGGGCAGCCTGCCCTGTGCCAGCGAGGAGCCCCATTCCTGCCTCTCCTGTTTGCAGAGGCCAGACAGCTTCCCCCTGACCCAGAGCAGGGCTCTGCAGTTACTCTACGACCTGAGGTACCTCAGCATCATCCTGACAGCCAAGAGTGAGGACACAAAACCCAGCAGGATCAAGCAGGACTCCGGGTATGGTGCATTCTGGGGTTCACATCCCCCAGCAGTGCTCTGGGGGGCCCTGAACCAATGCAAGCTCCAAGGTCTGACACTGCACAAACACTGAGCTCGTCCTCTAAACACAGGAGGGGTGGGGTTCTGTGGCCAGGGGCTGGCCCCCCTCCTTGTGTCCATAGGATACCCTCAGAGGGTGCCCTTGGACAGAGCAGCTGAGCTTCCAGCCAAGAGTTAAAGCCTTGGGGGTTACCACGGGGAGCGGTTCCTGCTGCTGGGATTGTGTAAGAGTTGGAAACCCTTGGGGCAGCTGCTGTTCTGCTGAGTAATTCCTGTTGTGCTCAGTCACCCCAGACAGGAAATCTCTGGCTGCTTCAGAGCTGGCATCACCAGGATGTCACCCCTGACAGAAGCCCTCTGCCTGCAGGATTGAGAAGGTCATTGACTTCCTGGAGGGACACATCGATCCCTTCGACCTGGATGTCTTCACCCCGCACCTGAACAGCAACCTGAACCGCCTGGTGCAGAGAACCTCGGTAGGGAGCAGGGCTGGAGCAGGGGCCCTGCAGAATGCCTTCAGCAGGGCAGCTGGGCTGGCTTTAAACTGCTTAGTGCCTCAAGATAAGCACCGGCACTTGCTTGGAAGGGGGAAGAGTGTTCAGTGCCAGCTGAAGATAAGAGGAGCTGGCTGAGCCGGCTGCACGGCCCTGTGTGTGGGGTGGCTGAACTTTATCTAACAGGATTCAGTGGAGCCTGTGCAACACTAATTGGGTTAAGTAGTGCTGAAACAGGTCTGGGACTCGACTGTGGGAATAATTAAACACCAGAGTTAAGAGTGGGGAGAGAGACACTTGATGTTCACACTCAGTGCTCGTGGTGTGCCAGTGGACTTATCACACACTGCGGGGTCAGCTCTGCAGGAACCCCAGATCCAAACAGCTCTGGTCCCTTCCAGCTTCTCTTCCCCAAATCCAAGCCGCTCCTGGTGCCTTCCAGGTTCTCTTTGGCCTGCTGACTGGGACAGAGAACCAGTACACGAGCAGGGGCGGCGCGCTGAGCTCGCAGGAACTCCACAACATCCTGCCCTTGGCATCCAGCCAGATCAGGTGAGGCACCCGGCTCTTCCAGGCATTCTCCTGCCTCTGGGAAGCTGCTCTGGAATTGCTGCTTCCCACATTTCTTTCTTTCATTTCTTAAGGTTTGGACTTCTGCCACTGAGCATGTCGAGCTCGCGGAAGAGCAAGTCCACTGGCAGGAGCACAGAAAGAGTCCAGGTTGGTGTTTGAACTGAGCTGTAAAAATAGGAATATTTTCCCAGTATTCACTGTTCCCCTGACACTGGAGTTTATGGGCAAAGAAGAAAGAAGCCAAACATGGTTTCACCTGATTTTTATTTTCAGTAAAATGAATCATTACGGCAGCACAGCAGGGATGGGGTGGATTTCTCCAGGACCCTCCAAAACCCCACCCACCCTTTGCCCCCGTGGTTTTGGGGTCACTGCTCTGTGGCAGGCAATAAGCACTGCAGAGGCAGTGAAGGTGTACATGGATGAGGGCAATGCATCAAAGACAACTCATTAAAGAGGGCTGCAAGAAAGGCTGAAGGACAGTAGCTAATGCTTGAACTCCTTTGCAGTGGGATGCTGCCCTGTAACCCCGAGGAGGCCTGGCCAGGTACCCCAGCTGTGTGAGGAGTGTCCTGCTGCTCCCGTGGTGCTGAGCTGTAGCAGCCAATCTTTCTGTTGCTCCATTTCCCCCAGTTTAGAACATCTGCTTAGATGGAGCTCTGTGTGCTGGGTGAGAGCCAAGGAACACCTCAGTGCTGTGGGAAGCAGCAATTAATGTTTCCTTTACTTATTACCAGCCCAATCTATCTGTGGTGGTCTTGGCAACTGGGACAAGTTGTTGAGTTGACAAGAGCCAAGACAAAGAGGTAAAGGCCTGTTTTTACCAGTGTCATTTGAGATGATGTTCAATTTGCAACTCCCCTTCTCCATTTCTCGGAGCCCTTAAGGACCAGACCCAGCAGAAGGGGTGGTTAAAAGCCCAGAACTTCCCAGCAAAGGTATTCCTTACCTCTCACAGCTCAGCTGGACTAGAGCATAGAAGTGTGCAGTGACGTCTGGCTCGTTCTGTCACTCCTCTCAGCTGCTGTGCTGTGCTCAGCACACCTGTGTCCTGTGCTAGCCACACTTGCCACGATCCCTGACAGATGCTTGCTCCTTCTTCAATGCTAAAACTCTTCTGGAAGGGTTAAAATCTGCAGTTCTCCAAGAACAGCTCCTGCAAGGGCACCAGCTGTGCTTCTACCACGCTGTGCTCCCTTGCTCTGAGAGCAGCAGCCCCTGCCCTGCTGCTCAGAGGGTTTTGATGAGTGTTCATCAGGGGTTTTATGAGCATTGAGTGACATCTGCCAAGTGTCTGTTGCTACCAGCAGCGAGGTGTGTGTCTGTCAGTCCCCCAGCAGTGCCACCGCTCCTGGTGCGTGCCGTGGTTCCACCCCTGTGCTGCTGGGGGACAGAGGGAGCCCCGGGGGTGCTGTGAGAGTCAGAGTCACTTTTGTCTTTCCAAAGGGCCAGGCTGCAGCTGCTGTGCTGCCCAGGGAGGACGAGGCGGCGCGGCCGGGCTCCCTGTTCCGGCAGCTCCTCACCGACGACGAGGACACGGTGGCACCGTCCCTCTTCAAGCTGGGCTGGCTCTCGGGCATGACCAAGTGAGGCAGCAACCAATAAAACTGCTCTGGGGGTTTGTCTTCACTGAGATCTGTCTGTCTGTCCCCTCGGTGACACCTCTGGGATTGTCAGTGCTTCCCATCCTCAGCCAGAGCGGGGCGTGGCACAGGAACAGACACAGCTTGGATTGTCCTTGTCCCCTGGCTGCTGGAACAGAGGTGGAGCTGCTCTTTCACCTCCTATCCTTACATTGTTAAAATCAAATTAAAGGGAAAAAAAAAAAAGCCAAAACAACCTACACACTAACAGAAAACAAAACATTTCACAGCTGGAAAGGGGTGCTGAGCAGGGTAAGAGGCCTGTGTCCTCAGGCACCACCACCCTGCCCTGAGAGGCCCCTGCAGCACCTGCCCAACCTGTCCTGGCTCCAATTTCACATTTCCCTTCCAGTCCTGCAGCAGTGAAGCTCATGAGAGAAGACTCATCACCCTGAGCTGGGCGGGAGTTTGCAGGCCTAAGGACCTGCACTCGCTGCTCCTATTCTCACTAACTCTAAATGCTCAAAAAATTATGTTGCCAAATCATTTTTTAACTAGTTTATTGAAATTAAAAAAAGACTTATAAAACTGAAGAGGAACGCTTAAGAGAACTTTACAGAAAGCAACAACTTGCTAACAAACAGATTAGGCAGTCGATTGGAATTGGACAGTTTGCAATCCTATAACACACATGTGGACTCCTCAGTCTCCTCTCGCCACGTACTTTAGAACCACCCCAAAAAGAATCCTATAAAAATTGCTTCAAAGCCCCTTTTGCATTGCAATAGTGCAGCAAACCACAAGTAAACAATCTCCTGTTAACCTGTTATTTCAAATATAGACTGAAAAGGCAACAGGCAATTTTGTGCAATTCCATTTTAACAAACTTTGAAGTTGAAATATCAAATCTACACAGTGCTGTCCCTTCACAGAAGGCAGGGAGCTGCTGGGTCATCATGTAGGGAGGCGTCCCCGGCTCTGTAGGCTGTGGAAGTGGGCTTCCTTCAGGATCTGGTTGATGTGGAAGTAAGGACCTTGGCTTAGTGCAGACTGCTCATGGAAGGGCTGGGAGGAGACAGGGCTGGATCCTGCAATCCTGGGGTTGAGGCTGGACTCTGCTCTGTCGGGGCTGTTGATGCTGCTGCTGCTACAGCTGCTGCTGCTGCTCCCGCTGTCACTGCTGGAGGACTGGGACACACAGAGGGTGAACAGCAACATCAGACACTTCTTCCTCACCCCACAGAAGCAAGCCTTTAGGATAAATCCCTCCCTTCCACATTTCCAGCCCGATGGACTGAATAAATCCACCTTGGCACAGAGAGGTCGCTGTTGCCAGCGTCACAGAGCTGAAGGGACAAGCCTTCACCCGGGGTTCAGTGACCTGCAGGGTGTTGGATTTCAGTCCTCCCCCGTCAAAGCCCTCAGCTCTGCCCCAACCCCACGCTTGCACTAGTGAAGTTTGCTGGGGTGATCCGAGAATTGGAAAATAAAGAACATTCCCAGGGAGCTGCAGCGTCAGTACAGGCAGGGCAGGGTTTGAGGGAAGCACCATGCAAAGCACTTTCCTACAAGGCAATCCCAAAGTAGGATCTGAAGCATCCAAAGCAAGAGGCTGTGAGAAACAAATGCACACAACACCCAGTTTAAGTCTTTGAACACCCCACCCTCAAGTACTCTCCTCCCAGTTAAGCACTCCCGGGCAGTGTTAACTGGAAGTGTTCCATGGCAATTCCACACCAATTTACTTGACATGACAGTGAAAGAGCAGCAGGCACTGAGGAATTCCTCATGCAGGAAAAAGAACTCGGCATTTGACTGGGATAAGAGGCCAGGGCTCATTTGCCAGCATTTAGGACAACCACATTTCATGGGAATGGCTGGAAGAGCATTTGCCATCATCATAAGGGATTCAAAGACATAAAACACCATTTTAAGGGCTGCTAAGGAAAGGTTCCATTAGTTCCAGTTTTAGTTTGTGTGATCTGCTGGTCAGGACCTGCAAATATTTGGGTGAGTCAATCAGCAAGTGGCTACTCTGCCACCCCATAAATGATTCATAAAAGCAGACAGAGTAAGCGACAGCAGCTAAAAAAAATCGATATTTTTGTAAGGATTAAGCCATAGAAGTCACAGTTTTGTGGCCACATCAGAAGAGGACAAATTTCACTAAATCCTCAGGGATTTGCCAGTCAGCACCACTTCCAGAAGGGCTTCACCTGGGGTAAATCAGGAATGGTGCAAGCTGCACCCAGCAGTGTTTGGGGTAAATCAGGAATGGTGCAAACTGCACCCAGCAGTGTTTGGGGTAAATCAGGAATGGTGCAAGCTGCACCCAGCAGTGTGTGCAGTGCCCAGGGAGGCACTGTGGATGTTTGGATGGAACACAACCCTCCCCCAGCCCTGATCCACCATCGATCCTGACCATCCAACCCTGACAAATTCCTTTGTTTTGCTAAGCACCAAAAATGCTTCAGCTCTGTGGGAGCACAGCAAGCCAAGCCAAGGGCCCCGGGCTGCCAGGAGAGAGAAACACACAGCGGGGTCATTCCCGAGGGAGCACAGATGGAACCACGGGAGCAACCAGAGCTCCTCTGCCTACATCTAGAGAGGGAAAGAGCCCCGGCAGGACAGGGAGGAGCTGGGGGTGGTGCCGGGCAGCGCAGCTGCTGTTGCAGAGCAGCACAAAGAGTCACACGCGATTTGAGGGGTCACAGCAGCCTCGGAGAGAAACCCACCGCACAGGACACTTTGTTTCCTTTTAGTCTGCGCTCCTTAGTGAGCTTCGTAACAGCCACCTTCTGCAAATCAAGGTAAAAATCCAAATGAGAACCTGGCCTCGCTTGCTGCTCACGTTTCACATCTCAACAAACGTTTTCCAGCTGTTAGCAGTGATTATTTTGTGCATCTCAAAGCTGGCAGCGTGTCCTGGGACGTGCTTCTGACACCTCAGGCTGGTGACAGATGGGGTTTGTCAGACCCTCTTTATTTCCAGTTCTCTGAGGCAAAGATTCACTAGCACTGGCACCCCTTCATCACTGCCCACATCACATGGAGCACCTACCATGTCCCCAGGCTGTGGTGCACATTCTGTAACGCATCTGGACTACAATCAGACAAGAAAAGAATCCTTAAAGTCATCAAGTCAGCATGACAAAGCTTTACAGGGCCAAAGGAAAGCAGCCCAGTGATATTTATGAATACTTTAGCTATCAAAAGGGCATCTTCAAGGTTTACTGGGCTCATTAACCCTTAGCATCACACTTCAAGTTTTAAAACAAACAAATGTTCTGTTAAATGTGCAGATCTGGGACAATCCCTCGTGACAGGAACTGGAGAAAGAACCACTCAGCCCCTGCTGCTCTCCACATCTTCCCAGAGGAGTTTAACAGGGCCACGACCTGGTTTTAGTTAGAACTGAAGAGCAGCCCTTCCCTGGATAGTGGGGGACAAGAACTTTGATTTGATCTCTGCCAAGAACCCGGCAGTGTTTCACTCCTGGCCAGAACAGAGAGGAACTATGAGAAATTCGGGTTTGCAGAAGTTGTTCAGGAAGGAAAGGGTCAGCCAGAACACTCAGACTCGCTTCCTTCCCTGGGAAAACGAGAGCAAAGGGTTTGCATTGGTGATTCCCCAGCTGCAGAGCACAGCTGGGAACCTCAGCATTCCCCTTGCAGGATCCACTGCAACTTCTCCTGGCTCCATCTGGGGACATGCAATGGATTTCTAACCAACTACAGGGCAAACAACACAGCTGAGCTCCTGGAAAAGGGAGGACAGGCTGAACAGGAAGCGAAATTCCGTGGCAAAGGCTCTGCCTCGCTAATGTTTAACCCTGGCTGCAGCTCCAGCCCCATGGCTGTGCCTGGCCATGGACTGAGCCCAGGGCAGAGGTTTCTGTCACCCTCAGGGTGCCTGTAACCTGTGAGTGGCTTCTCCAGGAGCACCAGGAATGGCACATCCCTAGAGCAACTGGCCAAAAAGCAGCACTGATGGAGATTGAAGAGAATCTCTTTCCATCCTGTGAAAGCTGGAAGTGCTGCCTGTCCTGGGTGAAAGGACAATCCAGAGGCAGAAAAGAGCAAATCCTTTGGAACTGGATGTGATTCAGATGAGCAGTGGGACTCTGAGTCAGGGACTGAAGGGTAACATCACAGAACAGCCCAGCTTTGAACTGCCACTAAGGAAAAACCTCCCTTCACCTCATTCTCCAGAGCAAAACGTGCAAGACAAAAAATTGGGAAGAGATCTTGGCAAAAAACACTGCTTGACTGCCACCAAGTTTAAAACACTATTTGACTGCCTTCCTGAGGCTGTGTTCTCAAAGAGGCCTCGCTCTGCAAGAGGGAACAGTGAGTTTGAACCAAAACAGGCCAGAGGAATCAGGACTTTGGGTAATGTTTCACAAAAAGCAGGAGTGCGGCGCCTGCGATGAAAAGCAACTCCCATGTGCCCTTGGGTGTCACAAATTGCTCCCACTCCCCCTTTCCCAGGCAATATCCCAAATCCAGTGGGGATTTTTAACAGCAAGAGGGGTCTTTGCACACAGCAAAGTATCAGGAAGCTAAATGCAAGTGTTGCAAACTGGCTGAGACTTTCCAATCGGAAGCACTCGTGCACAATGAGCACAAGGATTTCTCCCTTTGGCACAGGAAGTCCTTAACCAAATGTTGGAATGATACAGATTTAATCTCATGGCTTGAATTTCTGGGCATGCTCAGTTGAGGGATCTGACAAGAAAACAAGCCAAAAAAACGAGAGAAAAAGCTCCATTCATCAGGAGAAAACATTGGGAATTCTGTTCCCCGGAGCGCGGGGCTGTTGGAGAAGCTGCGCCCACATTCTCAGCAGTGAGAGCTCCTCCCTGCCTCACACCAGGGTTTAATGTGTTAAAACCAGACTTTACCAGGCAAGTGCATGCAAGAAGCAGAGCCTGTTAGGCTGAGCCGTGCCCGTGCTGTCCCCTCACAGGAAGCCAGGCCAGGGCTGATGTCACCCCTCGTGTGTGGCCACTGCCAGCCCCGCTTTTAGCACCAAGCAAAGGTGCTCCTGGCACTCACCATCGGGGGTGTTCCTCATATCCTTAACTCATTACTGCTACTCAATCCCTTGTTCCACACTAAATCCGTCCTCCTCCCGCCACAAAGCTGCTTTGGCCTTTAACTACCCTCCACACACGGAGGGCTCCGACCTGTTGGACAAGTGGTTCGGGGTCAGGTGGCAACAAACCAGGCTGCTGCTCCCCAGCACACCCCAAAATGCAAAGTGTCCCTCCTGAAAACAGCAGCACAGGGCAGTTTCCATCCCAGAGGATTCCTTCCTGATGGACAGCAGCTCTTAGAGCATTTCCAGCAGTGTGCTGTCACACGATCTACTTGTCCAGGTTAAGAGAGAGTTTCCCTCACAGCAGAATGTAGAAACATCCATCTGAAACCATTTGCAGATTATAAAAGAGCTCCAAGTTACACAGCAACTAAATATTTTCTGTGAAGTACAACTAACAGTTGAATAATTGAGTTAATTCCGTAATAATTCAGATTGTAATTGCTCATTACAATCCACCTTCAAAGTGAAGAGGCCCTAAAAAACCAGGGATATTTCCAAAACCTTCAAAGAAATTAATTTCATTAACTTCAGAGAGGGAGCCTGTGCTCTGCACCCTCTTTTCCATGAATGGTTTACACCACAGGGACATTGCTCACAGTGAATTTTCAGGTGATTCACCCAGGTGACATCTCAGAAAATCTGGCAGCAGTTGGGAAATCAGCAATTTCTTTTTTTTTTTAAGAAAAGAAATCTCAAATTGCACCTGTCTGGTGAGGTGTAAGAAAACAAGAGAGTTTGTCCCACATCCAGCAAAGAAATCATGGAAAATATGAGAAAAAACCACCGAGTTTTGAGTTTGTTTTAGCTGTGAACAAGTCTTGCTCAAACTGAGCAGCTCTATCAGAGCATTTTTTGCACATCAGATAAGGCCTGGCTGGAATGTGTTGTGTCTTTCTCCCACAAATAATCATCTCACTGTGAGGAAGGCAAGGTTGATGGTCAGGCAGAGTGAGCACAGGGACACATCCACCCCCAGCACCCCCTCACTCTGGGCACAGCTCAGCCCACACAGCAAAACCAAAAAGCTGGGAATTCTTTCCCTGGGTGCTGCAAGGCAGGATTTGAAATTTCTCCCCAGAAATATTCAGGGATAAGCAGGCTCAGGAAACGCGGATTTCCAAACTGATTTCAATCTCTGGTGTCACCAAGCCAAACCTCAGGACCTCAAACACAAAACTATGAAATAAAAATGAAAAATAAAAAAAAAAAGCACAGGATATTCCAGCTGCTGTTGAAAGGCAGCCTGGATTTCAGCTCTCACCTCAGTGTCCCACGAGTCCTGCAGGACAGAGTTCCTGGTGCTACGTTTGGTCTGGGGAACGTGGCCATCATCTTCATTGCCATTCCTCCTCCTCTTCCTGCAGGGGACAAGAAATGATCAGCTCCCTGAGCCACCTCCTGCTCTGTGCTCTGAAGGCACCCAAAAAGGGCAGGGACCCCTGAGAAATGAATGCAGGATGTCTGCACCCCCGAGGTGCTGTGGGTCTCACACTCCCCTTTCAGCTGCAGCCTGAGGGCACAGAGAAAAGGGTCCTGCTCTTCACAAGATGTCTCCTATCAGTTGAAGGGATGTGGATTAAAACCATCCTGCTAAATAAACTCATTTAACAACTGCCAGCCTTGCAGATGTAAAAATAATCCCTGGGCTCAGAGTGACACCTGGCAGGCTGGGGACAGCCCTGGGACAAGTGACACTGAGCACATCTCCAATGATTCACCTGCTCACACCACTCCACAACGACTCTTTAGCCTCTCCCCTCTGACAGGGTTTGGAGTCACATTCCAAAACAATCACATTTCCCACGTGGAGATAAGGTTTTGTCAGGAAACACCTCGTGGAAAACAAACTCTGCCCCGTTTCTGGTGTACCTGCCACCCTCTCATGGCACCCTGCACTGTCTGGCACGGTGGGTACAGGTTTTCACCTAATTTTTATCCAAATCTTTGCAGAGTTTGGAGGAGGACAATGGGGTGGGGGCGGTGCTGATATTCCCAGATTAGAGGAGATCAAGGGAACACCTCAAAGACCAGGCTGGACAGGACCTGGAACAACCTGGGACAGCGGGAGGTGTCCCTGCCCATGGCAGGGGGTGGCACTGGGTGGGACTGAAGGTCACTTCCGACCCACGCTGTGATTCTGTGCCACCAACACAGCAGCTGCTCCCCAGCAGCATCCCAGAATTCCTACACAAACATCAAACGATTCTTCCCCACCCTACAAACACGGACGAGTCAGCCAGGATCTCAGCAGCCTCCAAAAAAACACGGCACGGAGCTGTTTTGGTGTGCCTAAAATTAATCCGTGCTCGAATGAGTCAAAACAGACTCGAGGGAGGTATTTATAACCGGCTCCTCTCTGTGCAGCAGCCCCAGCCGCCAGGCTTTGGCCCACGCCTACAGCCGGAGCTGCCTCCCCGCTCCCCCTCCCAGGGACGGCAGGCTCCAAACGCTGTCCATCTGTCCGGGAACACTCTCCGGGGAAGGGAGACCCCTCCCTTCCCCCATCTCTGCCCCCGGATCCTTCCCTTCCCCGAGGCCTGCAGTGACCTCGGCAGCTCGGCCGGGGCTATGGAAGGTGTCCGTGCCCGCGGCAGGGGCGGCACGGGAAGGGCTCCGGGGTCCCTTCCACCCCAATCCCCGACTCCACGATCCCCCGCGGCCTCCCATCTCCCCCCGCCCCACGATCCCTCTGCTGCCTCCTCCGCATCCCGCCCGTCCCTTCGCCCTCCCAGCCCCATTTAACCCTCCCAGCGCCCGGGGGCCGCTCTCCCCTTCCCCAACCCCTCTCCGCGCGGCGCCCCCGGGGCGGCTCCGAGCGGCCGAGCCCCCTCCCCTCAGCGCGGCCCCTCCTTCCCCCCCTCAGGCCGCGCTGCCCTCACCCACCTCTGTCTCGCTCCCCGCTCGCTCGGCAGCGGCTGCCGGCAGCTCATGGCGGGCGGGAGCGCGGCGGGGCGGGCGGAGGGGCCGCGGTTGGCCGCGCTGAGGGGCGGAGGCCGAG